TTTAAAAATCATATCACCGTTATTGAAAAAAATTATATCGCGATACATATTGATATTGAATTATTGTCCAGCCCTAATACAGAGCATAATTATTGGATGAGAATTTCTTTATCAAGATCATAGTGTTGATTTTTGTACAAGCAATCACCTCTCATACTTTCTTTATAAACTAAAAAATGGAAAGTTTTCTGAAAAGTATGTGAAGACTGAGATAGATACTATCACTTGGAACAAAAGGCAAACAAAGGAAGGGACTGCCAGAGAGAGAGAGAGAGAGAGAGAGAGAGAGAGAGAGACAGAGGAGGGGAAGAGAGTGTGTAAATGTGTCACAGTTGAGCACAGAAATGACCTCTAAATCCCTCAGAGGAGCTGGAAACCAGGGAAATCAGCTAGTTAATTGGTGTGACAGTCTGCACTAACACAAACACAAACACAAACACACACACACACAATTGGATGACATCACCAACAAAGCCACATGCACCATCGTAGTCATTTCAGACACATTCTGATTTTACATTACGTGAAAGTTTAATCAGAATTAACATATTAATTTAAAGAAAAAAAAATGGCTTGGCTAGCCAGAAGGAATCCAGAAATTGTCCAATGTATTCTGTCACTGAGTTCTTTATTAAAATAATATTCTAATCTCCGGCTACTGCTACCAAATCACTTGACATATGAATGATGGATGGTGACCACTGTACGTTGAGCTCATTACTCCTTGAGTGTGTGTTTGAGTGAGCTGAAAGATGTAAAGAGAAAGAATGATGGAGAACTGTGAATGACCACTGCATGAAGAAATGTCCGTCAATTTTCTCTGCATGTCTGTTGTCCGTGGCGTGACATTAGCATAATACTGCTCCATTTCCTCATCTCTAATTAACCAGTTCTATCTAATCTCCCCCTCCATCCAGTCGTTTCATCCTTCTCTCCCTTCTTTCATCAGTAGAAATGAATAATCCTGGGAAGATGTAATCTGTGGCAACAGCAAATCTCACTACCTCATCCAATATTTATGGATCTAATTCTGGAGTGCTGAACCCCCTGCTGAGTGTGTCTAGATACTAAAAGAGGCAAGGCCAGTGTTTCCTGAATAAGTCATCTTAACAGAAAGAGAGAAAGAGCCAGAGAGGAAAGAGAGAGAGGAAGAGAGATGTGTTTACAGATAAGAAGCTCATAAAGGAGGTCTCTTTCTTAGCGTTGAGGAAGAAATTATTCAGTCTGTCAGGTCCTGGGCAGAAGTGTGAGTGACTACTAGAGTAATCACACAACTCTTCTGCAGTGAAAGAGAGTAGATAAGAAGAATCCAGGTCACACATAAAAATCAAAAGATAAAATATATGCATATTTTATATTTCACAAAGACTTTGAAGCCTATTGTAGGACCATTCAGATTTTATTTATGGATTTATTTTTTTGGATAGCGTGACATATTTCTTAGATATTATTTTCATAACAACTACATACATTTCCCCTCTATTGTTCACATTAACCGAGATGAATTTGGACATTTAACTTTTTTTTTGTTTTGTTTTGTTTTAAATGCTACCTTTTATGTGTGCTACCTTGGAGAAGTCAAAAGTCTAGAGAATGAGGTGTGGCAGTTTCCTGTCAGAGCTCAAGATTTGGCCTTTAAGAGTGCGAGCCAGAAGGCCCAGCTGACATCACAGACTCACAAAATCATGTTCACTTGAAGGGCAACTTTTGATTGCTGTGAAATGGGAATCTGTAAGTGATCATTTTCAACTTATAATAAGTTACTAATTATATTTTGCATAAAGAAAGTGAAGCCTAATTTTAGGACCATTAAGCCTTTTTGCATTGTGACATTATTTAACTTCTTATTAATTTAATACTATAAAATAAAAAATCATTCTCACTCCTATAATACATAATGATAATTGCCATTAATGTCACATTGTAAAAAACCTCAATAACCATAACAATAGGCTCCATTTTCTTTATAATATAATTTCTTATTTCCATTTTTGTGAGCTTCACCCAATTAAAAAATTACATTTGTTCTTAATCAGTAGATTTTTTCCCCTTTTGTTTAGAGTTGAATAAAAGCTCTGCAGCCTTTAGTATAAAAAAAGGCCCAGCTGACATCACAGACTCACAAAATCATGTTCACTTGAAGGGCAACTTTTGATTGCTGTGAAATGGGAATCTGTAAGTGACTATACCTGAGACTGCGGGAGCGTGGCCGCATGGCTGGAGCTCTTCTCCCATCCTCATCCGTGATGCTCTCTGAGCTGAAGTGTTTGGTGAGGAAATGCAGCTCATCTGCAGTGGGCTGGAAGGGCAACTGGTGCAGCTTCTCCTGAGATGAACATGATGACTGTGAGAAGCAGAGAGGGAGGGATTACAAGGATAGAAGGCATTGCATAGGCTGCCCTGACTGTCAATCAGCTGCCTTTGTTGGCATAATGTTGTTGATTGTTAATTCGGCTCATGGTAAGAAATTTATCCTAAAAACTTTCAGGCCAAATGCAAAAAATACTGAAAATAAAAGACTTAGTTTAGCTACAGTAATATATATATATATATATATATATATATATATATATATATATAAAATTTTATATTAACCCTAACTTATTTCTTTCACTTGTGCGCGCTCTAAAATTAATCTCCT